TCGGTTGTCGAACTTTGCGTCGACATTTGTGGCCTTCGTGCATCCTAACAATAAGACGTACCGTGGATTTTTTTCTTTTTTTTCTTCGTTCACCGAGCGAATGGTTGAACACGCTGAACACAGATGGGGGAAGTGGGGGTGACGGTGCTCTCAGTTAGCCGATCGGTCGTTGTTACTCCCCTTCTTCCGATCGTTTCCGGTTCACCTCTGGTTCTCTTCGCTTCGACTCTTCACTTTCCGTTCGTTCGTTTTGCTTCGCCAGCTCTGCGCTTATCGGCTAGTAGTAAAGCGATCTCGAACGCACTCCTCCCTCGCCCCCGTTCGCAGCGACCAGGAGAATCTCCGCGAATTATGACGATTCGCACAGTTCAGTGTCATCTTCGATATCTTCGGTTGTCGAAACTTGGAAATTTCGGGGAGCCGCGAACGGGGAGACGCGTGAACGTTCGTCGCGTTACCCGATACAAATAGATAAATAATTAGTTATGTACAAGTTATGAACATGGTGTACAAGTTATGGCGTCGGGGGGGCGTCGACGTTTCGACTCTCGTCGCCCTCGACGGCCCCCTCTTGGCCAGGGGTGTAACAATCGTTATTAAACGGAGCACAGCTCCGTGGAAAACAGCATTATATATATCACATAATTTCAGGCTACCATAATTTCTACGTCGTTCACTTCGTGTTCGTTTCTTCCCGAAGTCGTCTTATCGCTAGCGTGACAGTGTCGTTTACGTTTGCCTAAACGGTGATCACTCGAAACACTTGGTCAGTACAGTATAGTTTTATGCCATCCAGCGGGCTCCATCGTGACCAGCGTTGATTGCCTCGTTTCATCTTTCTCCTCTTTGGATTTTTCAAACGGAATTTCAAAACCACTGTTATACAGGCAAGAATGCGAACAGAGCTGGAAAAGGAACTGCTTTCCACGAGGCAGTATAATGTAAATATATAACGTAAGTGCGCGATAGAGATGACAGCGTTTCGTTCTGTCCCCCAGAGGCTCAATGCCATTTCACGATTAGTAATTCACGCGAATCACGATGAAAACAGCCGAGATGGTTCATCCGAACGCGCGCGACTTTGACTTTGAATATTTTACAAAGGATCTTGCGCGCATACCGAAAGGGAGCATGAGAGCGGAGAGAGAGAGAGAGAGAGAGA